CACCAAAGAATATCTTCTTGTCGTTGATTTCTCTTTGTAAATGAATTTTACACGGCAAACCTATGGAAACCTTTCCAAGAGACCAAATAAAGGATAAAACTTCCAATTTACGTAATTACCCCATCTGTTGTTCTCGACAACATTGTTGTATTGAAGCGCTCGTTTTTCAAATCCGTGATTTACTCCGCGAGTCACTCTTTCCAGTGTGTTTCTAGCAACTACCCTTATCCTAGCAAGGTCTGCGTCATTTGCTACAGTTCTGACCGGTTCTTTTAAAACTTCTCCGTCACCGACATCGGGAATCCATCCCGAAACTGAATCGTAGGTTTTGGGATACAGAACCGTTTTCAACATTGTGTCAAACTCGCCGGGGTGTTTTATGGTCTCTATCGGATTTGAACCAGCTTCGAAAACCATTTCGCTGAATAAAGACGGAAAGAAGTTGTTTTCTAAAGTCGTGTTGGTTTGTGGAATTCGATTCTGAGTGGCGTCTTTGATTTTGAAATCGCATCGGAAATGGGCATCGGAAAGCAGCAACCAATTGGACAACGAATTAATTTCAGAGGTAAGTTCCTCCGTCGTTTATGTGGGTCTTTGTCCCTACCGATGGTGAGATGATTACGTAATCCTCTTTCTTCTTGTTGAACGAATATTGAATCGGATCATACAATTGAAAGATTGGATCCAATCTGTAATTTTTGCTTACCATTTTTATCCAATGATTTTAAACCCTTTTCCTTGTTTTTCTGGGGCTTGTCGTTCTAGTCTCTTGTTTCTTAGTTCTCTTATTAGCTGTATTTCTTTAAGTTCGTCAGATTTTTTCACTGCATCGCTAATATTTACTCCTGCTTTTGCCACAAATCCAAGAGCTTGCGCTTCTGAGGAAATGAGGGATTTGTTGTTTGAGACAAAATTGGCCACTTTGGGGATGAGAGATGTTAGCGCAGAGAAGAAACCGTCTCCTTCGAATTTTTTTTGTTCGTGTTTTAAAATTAAAGACATTTTTATTTTTTTTAACGCGGTTATTTTATACTGTATTATTATAGTGATTCTTGTCTGTGGTTTGGGTAATTTATGTGGAGTCTGTAATAATACAATTTGGAGGAATCTGTTATAATACATTTTTTTAACAGTTTGAGGAGTCTGTTATAATACATTTTTAGCAGTTTGGGGAGTCTGTTATAATACATTTTAACAGTTGTGTCTGATATGACGCATTGAAAAAGCTGCGCATGCGCAGAAGTGAAATGCGTCATATCCGAAAAGACATATACTACTAATGCCAAACTGACATCACTAGGCTAACACGGTCACCAGTAGCATCTCCGGCCTTATTACCATCTATTTCTAAGGCAATACCATATACATGATCTGCTACCTAGGCTTCTCAGACTGAGAAGTCAGTAGCTGATGATAGTTGTTTAAGTCTACCAACTAAAGACGTTCAGCCGAAAGGGACTGGTAAGCAGTCCAGACAAAAGCTTAGCGAAAGTCTTTCTAAAATTGACAAGTCCGGCAAAAGAGGTCTTTTGAAGTCTGATAGTATAGATATGGAGGCTTCCGAGGTTGATGCGGAAGTTCTCAACCCCCCTTACCTCAAACCTCGTAGTCCAGTCAAACCACTCTGACAATGCATCAGAAAAATAATATAATACAATGGAATTGTCGAGGTTTAAGTCACAATCTTAATGAAGTTCAGCTATTAATGCAACAATACAATCCATTGGCTATTTGTCTCAAGCCAACGGATTTGCGTTTAGTGCCATTTAAACATTTTGTTTCCTACCACCATTATGGCACTGGTGATGATCAGGTCTTGGGTGGTGTTTCTATTATTGCCAATAGGAATGTCGCCCAATCCAAAATCACACTCAATTCTCCTCTGCAGGTAATAGCCGTGCGAGTTACACTCCACGTGCCTATTACCATTGTTCCATCTACTTACCACCTAGCTTATCATTGAACCAGAGAGAATTGGA